ACCCCTATTGGACGTCTTTATTATGTCCAAAAAGTGCAACATTAAAACATTGACCTTATTTGCACAACATGTAGACATCCATAATAGGTAACTGACCGACAGACTATAAATACCTGATCTGCACTTTAATCAGTGGCTATTCTCTCAATGTAAAAAAATAAAAAGAATAAGCATCTCAAATATTAATTATACATATAAAAAGGGTCATGAGAGAGAGACTTAGATCATGACAGATCTAAGTGGAAATAAGTTACACTGTCTGCATGTAGGAAAGCAAAATGACATAGAGGAAGATTGATCGACATGGTAGAAAGGGAGGAGGAAAAAAAGAGTGACATGAGTGTGAGATAAGAGAATCAGATACAGCCAAGATACAGAGACAGACAGAGAGATAAAGAGATGGAACGGAAGAGAGAGAGAAGTTGGGGGAGGAAGCTGACTCCTCTACCGATTCACAGGTTGTGTTTTTTTTTACTAGTCTGCCTTTGAGCTCTTGCTAGTGTCATATTAAGATCATCCATTTGAGAATCAGAGAAGAGCCTTTGATGTTCTTTGTGCACAAAAACACACGGGGATAGAGTGCTCCTTTGAAAAAGCCAAATTCATATGCATTTCTTATTCTCAGTCTCTGGCCTGATAGGGACAATGCTGTCTACAGGAGCAGCTCAAACTGGTTAATATTTTAATACACATGTTCATAATTCATCGCTTAATACATTAAAATAAATTGTTTTACCCATCCACACTTTGAAGCTTTCATAAAAATGTGTTCCCTAATCAGCCTTCACTGTTTTTCCTAATTTAGGTTCTACAAGGCACAGCAGGTGGCAAAAATAATACAAGAGTTGCAAAGAAAGGGATTTAAAACAGTAAGTAAAGAGTTTGCAAGAAAAAAAACTGGATAAGTTTAAGAATGAATATAAACAGTCTTTAGTGGTCAAAAATGTTCTCCATAGTGTTCTCCAAAAGAATAATAGTTCTATAGATGTTATCTGAATAGAATGATAGCTTTCTAATTCAAAAGATAAATGAAAAACTTAAAGTTTACAGTCTAGGATAAATAAAAAATGGAAGCTCCTTTCATGGTGAAATCAATTAAACTGTTAAACTAAAACTGTTTCTAACTGTTGCTTTTTCAAGTTCTTTGATAATTATATTAATGTAATTATTGTCCTGTCAGATGTAAAACCATTTCACACAACAGTTCGGCAATACCTTTATAAAAATAGGTTCCTATTTAAGAAGCTGTTGATCAAATGTAAATCACCAGTCAAACCCAAAGTGAGCCACTAAAGTAGAGCATTATGGGTTGAATAGCAGATACCTGCACAAATCATCAATATAACTTACCATGGCGACTGTTACGCTGTCCATTTCCTAATTGGTGGTAGGGCTGAACATGCTTTGCAAATATGTTGTCATAACAAAGTACAAATACAGCACTATATTGTTTTTTTCCATCCCTAAGGGAATTTAAACGAGAGCTCTGGCTGTCTTAGGTTCTTTAATTAAGAACTGCAAGCAAGAAGAATATCCTGTAGCAGCTTTTGCTGAGCCTCCTCTAAGGGAAAAGACTATTTGCTAAGTTACAATGATGCTTAGTGTTCTACACAAGGGAACATTGGACAATACCTTTGGATTCCCTTCACAGTGCTTGTATGCATGCAAACATCATTTTTGATGAGAAACTGCCATGAAGTAATGTACTGTAACTATAGCTAAATGGCTGAAAGAATAGGGCAAACAGGGTTAACATAAAAAAATTTACTGTAAAACTACTATTTGTTTTTGTAGAACATTTTCTCTAAAACGCTAGTTATAATTGGGATGTTATTTTTTTTTTTGTCTGTCTACCTAAAATATAGCAGCCCAGTCTATGACGATGTTCATCATAGGCATAGACTAAAAATGCTCATCAATGTTCCACATGTGTACACTGTATATCTTTAAATCCATTTCACTTCAGTGGGACGTCATGACCGCTATTAGTTTGGTTTTCTCATTTAACAACTTATCGGTCCTTAAAACAAAGACTTGTTAAAGAACTTTGGCTCCTCGGATTTCTCATCTAGGTTCTCATGACATAGTTTCAGACTCTGCACTGCAGATGTGGAATGAAGAAACTCTGACAATGTCTCATGTTGGTTGGACTGAAGGGTAAAATTAAGTAGTACTGTCAGGGGTTATGAGGCTGCTCACAAACTCTCAGTCAGGGCTGCAGGGGTGATGCTCAGTGCATTGATTTTGTGCAGAGCCACAGTGATGGAAAGCTGAAGTTCACACCTGTCTCAGCAGTGACCACTTTACACCTGGTGGTTTTTACAGACTTTCATCAATGACAGCAGGGGTCAGCGAATAAACTGCAGCTGCAGATGGAAGAGTTTGACAAACTTTCATTATTTCTTTACAAGATCTTGAGAAAAAGCTATTTTAATATTTTGTTAATCAGGATGGAAAATCACAATCATCGATGCAGGCTCTCTAAGATACTTTTAGTTTGTACACTAAAACTGCTTTAGTCCTCTATCGTGCTTCTATGTCTCTAGGTTTTCCTTTTTATCTCTGACGTTAGGCATCAGGCTGTGTCCTAAGTGGACCTGTGATTTCCTTTGATTTTGCTGATAAATAACCTCAATCAGCACTGAAATGACTGTCGTGTAAGAGTGATGACTAATCCCTGCAGGAGTGCAGTGAGCATCCTGCATTTTCCAGCTGAACTAGTAAACCTCATGGCTTCAATATATAAATTAAACCTGACGTTCATGTTTTTAGAGAAATAACACCCTTTGATGTGTAATATTCTTACCAAATTGCCTCATAAGGATGCTTAACCATGAAGCATTTTTATCACAAGTAAAATGATTTAATTTCTGTCAGTAATTCGATCCAAAAGGTAAAACTTATGTTAAATATGGTTTTTAAAAACACTGTAATGCAGGGCTTCACATTTCATTAAATGATTATTGTTTACAGTGGGTTGCTTGGTGGTGCACTATTTTCCGTGCAGCAAGATGGTCATGGGTTCTATCCCCTGCCTAGGGTCTTACTACATGGAGTTTGCATGTTGCCATGTTCATGCATGGGTTCTATCCATATATTCCAAATTATGTCCCTCTCTGCTCTCCCTCCTTTATTTTTCTAATCCTGTTCTTTACCATTATGCTACACGGGACTCCAGATACAAATGTGCCCCCATAGATTAATCTATACAATTTACATGATAAACTGACTTATGCTAATTCATGTGTTTTGTCCTGTTTTAGTAAATACGATAGACAAAGTAATACTCTAGGTACTTAATTTTCAATAAAGTACAAAATACCCTAATTTGACGATGACGCCAAAAGACTGAGCGACAATCCAGTCAGTTTATTTCTGAACACTGCTGATGTGGTATTTGGGTCAAAAGTCTTATTACAAGAAATACCATAATATGATAGGTTCTTGATATGTTTGTGTGTCCGGTCTGACTCCAGCTGCAATCCACGCCTCGTGAATCTACTTAAAATTATTGCATGCACTTTGTTTACAGTCCTACAAAGCTTGTTTACCTTTCTTTTACTGAACTTTTTCCTTCCACTTAATTGTCTATTAATATATGTGGATACAGCACTGAGTGAACAGCCAGCTTTATCAGTCTAGTTAAAGACTCTAAGATCAGTAGTGTTTCCAATTAATCTGTCAGCTGTAACATGAGAGTTTAAATAGTATTTTAAATTTCCCTGAAACCAAATCACTCATTATTTATTAACTATTAAACACTAATGGCAAATAATGCTTGAAATATACCACTTTCTTTGAAATCTACCACTGTGTGTATAAAATCATTACATATTCTATGGGTCTACCTTTTTAATTTGAATTTAAAAAATAAATGAACCTTTTAAAGATATAGTCTAATTTCTCGATAGACTTTTTAAAACAACAGAACTACCCTTTTATCAAACAATATCTAATGATCTAAGTCTGAGTGTAATTCTCTCCTGCATTAACAAATAGCAATAATCTACTAAATTGCTGTTTTTTGCTGTTGCTACCTACATTATTACTACAAGCCTCCGCTGCAGCACAATGCTACCAGCCCCAAGCTACAAAGTCTAGAATATTTTTTCAGCAAAACCCAGGACTGAATGATACAAATCAAACTTCCATTTCTGGTCCTGACAAAAAAAAGAAAAAAAGAAAAAGTTAAATTCCAAGTAAAGTCAAGGTAAAGATGATGAACTGCAGCATAGCATGCTATTTATTTGTCAGTAAAATACCATTGGTAAAGTATGCTGGATAGCTCCTCCAAAAATGACTATGAAATCAATGCTGTGATTGAACTGCCTCCACAATAGGTTGAATAACTGCAGTGACATACTTCAACTTCAGATTCTTTCTTTGTGCCTGGAGTCAGGTGCTTTGCCATCTGATTGGCACTAAAACTCTGAAAACTAGTGGATATCTCTGTTGTTTTGGATATTCTCCTGCCATTTCCTCTATTGTTTTCTTGCATTTCATGCAAGAATGCTCTTCCAGCCATTTTTTATGAAAGCACTGTGTAGCACAGATGCTAACGCAGCATGACTTCTGATGTTTTGGCGTCTTTTGAACTGCAAAGCTTTGAAAATTATGAAAGTGCTGACCCCGAGTCCTTTTTAAGCGAATCTTTACCACACTGTAGCATTGATTTGAAGAGTTCTAACCTTTAAGGTTATCTTCATAATTATGAGGTCATTACACTGACGTTCATTTTTGCTTTAAGTTTTAGTTTTCATCCTTCTACACATGCAGATGAAGAATTTCAAAGCAGACACCCACAGGGATTGTAACCACAGCAGACAACAAATTCACAAAACTGTTAAGCAATTATTGCTATTATGTTCTTACCCAGCTGCTGCACTGGGTTTAGCTGGGTTTGAAGTAAATATAAATAAAATACTTGAGAGCTGATACTTTTAGCCTTTTCTGGCCTCGACCACTCCACTCAGCCAAGAACAAGTAGAATGACAACTTACGAATAAGAGGCACACTGGCATTAGCCGTCCCCAGCTTGTTGATGGCGACACACGTGTAGTTTCCATAACGATCCTCTGTCATGTTGTTCACTGTGAGGACTGATCTGGAGCTGAGACTCTTGATGTCGATACCGTGGCCCCTAATGATCCTAAAAAGACCAAAGTAAATGCAACAAATGAGGCTTTGATTTCTCACCTGTACACAAAGCTTCAATAGGATCAAACCAAGAATCCTGCAATTGTCTTCTTAAGTGGATCATTATCACCCTCTACAGCTTGTCTATTTGTTTCATTGTGGATCACTTTTGCTCTGGAGGGATGCTTTTGAAGGACTGTGATAAGAGTGCAAAGAAGCAGAGGGGGAGCGGTAGGATGACAAATGACTTATTGCAGTTGGACAGGATTAAAAACATACAGTTGAAACAAGATGCACTGTTTATAATGACACATACCTGGTTCCTTACTGTTTGATATCAAATCAGTCTAATACTTGGTTTCAGATCAGAAGAGATGTTAATATATGTCTGTTTGATAAATAATTAGTGATAAGCCCTGAAGCTACTTTATGTAATACATTCAGAGAGTCCCTTCTATAGTTACTCTGTCAGCATATGTGGGTCAAGCATTCTGGAACTTCTTTACCAGGCTTTTCACAAAAGTTAGCTGGGATTTTGGTCCATTCCTCCTAATACCAGTTCATAGGACTTAACAGGATTTTGCTTTTGTCACTCCTACAGTTTAACTATGTTGTCCTTGGACCCTTATGTTAAAATTAATTACTTCTTGGGTAATACATTGAGTTTTCTACATTAACATCCAAATATGTCCTTATAAATTCAACTATTCCTTGGAAAAATTAATCCAACAGCATGATGCTTCCATATTTTTTTTCTGCAGCTGAGGTAGTGTTCTATGACTTGCCAAAACAGTCCTTATGGATATAGACTTCAGTTTTAGTTCTATCAGATCAACAGACTTGGCTTCAAGAACAAATTTATTTGTCCCTGAATGCACTAGCAAACCACGCTGTGTTTTTTTTTTTTTTTTTTTTTATGGTACTCACAATGTGCTGGCTTATGCCTTGTTGAGCAGCCTTTTAACAAATTGTGGTACAGTACAGGATGTGTTATAGTGTGAATTTTCTCTCCAGCTTTAACATTATGTCTTTGGATCTTTGGATCCAAAGGCATAATTGGACCTGAAGACAAGATTCTCTCTGGGAAAAAAACACTTTCTCCTTCTGAAATAGTAGTATGTTTGGACAAGTAAACAAGTGTTTGTAAGGATGGCATTGTTGTCTTCAGCCATCTGATTAACTTAACTGTGACACAGCCTGGACAATCACTCCAGATGGGTAAAATTTAGGTCGAGAGGCCTTGCATCTTGAGACCGTACCAAGAAAATTTCTGAAAGCCGTAACCCTTGACAAACATTGAATGATAGTGTACGTTCTCTAACACACAATCCCAAACGAATAATGGAAATTCCTAATCACATTTATAGAAAAGAAATACAACAGAAACACACACAATGGAAAAATTGTAGGTAAAAATACAAAAGGCAATAGTTTAAATAGTTCTATGATGCAAACTTGCTCCATAAAACAGAATGTACCAGACATCTAGGGGTAGTCAGCCACCAATCAAATGTATTGGACCAAAGCAATCACAGAAAGAGAATGAACAAACTGGTGAGAAAGGCCGTTTCTGTCCTAGGCTGCACTCTGGACCCAACGGAGGAGGTGGTTGAGAGGAAGATGCTGTCCAAGTTTACATCCATCATGGACAACACTCTCCACCCTCTGCACCAGACTGTAGAGGAGTTGCACAGCTCCTTTAGTGAAAGACCTTTACACCCTGTTTGTACATAGGAGCGCTACCACAGGTCAATCGTCCCTGCTGCAACCAGACTCTACAATGGCACACTACAACGGCAATAACTTGTGCAATGTATAATATGCAATTACTATTTGATACTGTATTCACAGACATTTTCATTTGGTTTCTGCCTTTTTTTCTGGGACTGTAGAATTTTTCTTTTGATTTTTTTTTTTCAGGAGCATTTGTTTTTTGGGCTTTATGGAGCAATATTTATATGTTTGCAGTGTGTTTTGCTGTTTGTGATGCGTATAACCGCTGGCTCTGGATCTGTAGAAACCAAACTTCTGAAATTTTCTTCCTAGCATCTAAAATGATTTGTTTGGACATTCCTATCCAGTGTTTTATGAATGACCACCTAACCCCAAGACTTTTAGGGGCTTAGACCAAGTCGAGAACAGGACCAATGGATGGCAATACCGAGTCAAGACCAAGACCACTGCCCCACATTTATGCCACAGTAAAAAAAAAAAAAATAACATGATCAAAAATCCTTCTATAATTATTTTTTTAAGATCCAGGTTTAAATAAAAAGTATAATACATTATACACTATTGGCCTGATCTTTAAAAATTCCAAATAAGAAGCTCTAAATAGCACATGCAATTATTTTTTAGATGTAATGAGTGGGCTTGGTGAGCAAATGTTAAAAAGTGCAAACCAATTTGGTACTGCCCATAAGCTAATTTCATGTTCTACAAACAGTTTGAGAATGGACAAGAAAGAAAGACTATGTTCAGAGACATGTAGGTGGAAGTTTTACTGATATTTGTATAAATAATGGATAAAGATAATACAAAAATGTTAATATTCACCTACAAAATAATGTTTTAACATAAAAAACTACGACTTTCTTGTAGTGAGAATGACTGTGGTTTGTGAGGCAGATGGATAGAAAATGTCTTTAGCACATGGCCATAAAGTAAAAAAACATTGGGTAAATAAAAATCGTCAATAATTAGAATAAAATAAGTATTACTTAATTGTTACTTTATTAGGTTACAGTGTATACTGGAATGGATGCATTTCAAGTCACATTTACCATAAATGTTTTTTTTTTACTGAAATATTTCAATTTTTTAATCAATTAAGTTTGCAATACTTATGGCTTCTTAAATGCTGCAGTCCAACTTTTAACATTTATAGACTTCTGCTTGTATGAAAAGTTTAGATCTTAGTTCTAAATGATATTTTCAGGACCTTCACTCAGCAGTTAACGCTCTACTCTATGGCCCGATCTGTTTATTTCCTGCCGATCATCTCCAGCCTGATCCTGCAGGTACAATGGTGGGCATGTCTGGTTTACACATCACTCCAATAGAAACAGTGTAGTCTCTAAACAATAGGTATTAGACCTGTCCTACAGTGATTATAATTCAATTTAGCAAAGGTGCACAAAGATAGGGCGTTGATGGGGCAAGAGCAGTAACAAAATGTATTACTGAGTTTTCTTATTGGTTATTTTAAAAACATTACATTTTACACAAACAAATGAAGGGTGTTATCAAATAAATGTCATGTTTTTTCCTTAGGTCTTGTCTTAAATTATATTGAAGAAAAATCCCAAGTACATATGCAGTTTATTAAGTACAAGACGTGACGGAGAGCGTTAAAAAGTGGTCTATAGACCAAGACTGATCTTAGGTACTATAACAACACAAGCATTGTGAGAGTCAAAAAGGCATCCAACCATTATCTAGGATGCTTTTGCATGCTAAAGTTGGATCTTCAAGAGCTTTGTTGATGCTCTGGATGCCTAATGCATCTGACAGCCATAATCTGTTCTTTTTCCTTGACTTTCCTATACAATGGCAGAAGCAATCATGAAAGGGGCTGGGCTTCATTTGCTGAATATAATAGCAAGAGAATTTAGTAATTTGACACTGCTGTACAGTGTCTCAATTTACCAGACAATTTAGAAGAGATAGGACTATCCTATTTCTAAAAAAATATTATAAAAAATATTTAAATATTTAATATATAAAAATATTATTTCTAAAATATCTCCAGTCTGCCTGCAACCACTTCAAAGTTTCTTTAGCATCAGTACGTATTTCTCACAGTCGCTAGTTTAACATCAGTCCTGACAATGCTTCCCAATGTCATGGTGAAAGAAAGCTCCCCACGCCGACGGATGTTCAGATAAACATTCCCCTACTTCCACTCAAAGAATGAAAGCAATGACAGAGAAACGTTAACTTGTCAAAACTGTCACAGTATGCCTGATGTAGATAAAGTAAAAGAGACGCTGCACAAAAGCAAAGACGCTGCTTTTACTTCATGTGCTCAATGAACTTGCTGAAAAGAAATCTTCAACTCTGTGCTTGAGTCCTCTCACTAATGTTCTGGTCATAATTACAAGTAGAAGAAAAAGAAATCACAATTTAGCCATGTGAGAAGTCACAGAAAGAACGAGTACTTGAATTAAGAAAAGACCGGAATTATGCCAACTTGCCTCCTTAGCAATTTGAATAAATTGAATCCGCCCAATAATTACAATTAGCACAGTGTGAGCTGATGAATGAAATTGTGCTCACCAGGAGTGGGTAAATGATGGGTAATAGGTATAATTTGGTTTTTAAAATTCAAGAACGAACACTTGAATCTAGACTGATTGATATATGTGTCAGAAGAGATTTAAGTCATTGCCTTCAAACATTTGATCAGAATGTAAGGTGAGAAAAAGACACAAATGACTCCTGCTGGAGTGTTTAAGTCGGCTCTCCCCAAAGGCATGAAGGAACACAGAAAAGATGATCTGTGGGGAAAAATAAAAAACAAAAACATAGAGCTTTTCTATCAAGGGATGCATTCACCTAACACTTAAGTTACCGGTTAAACACTGATGAAAAAATACTAACATAAAAATCTTTATAAGCAATTAGCATCTGTTTGTTACACAAAAAACATGATTCAAAGATACTTTGATACTTTGTTTGTCATATTTGGAAATATGTGGGTTCCCAGTCACCCAGATCATAGTCATTCCAAAAAAAAAAACAATCCACTGGACTTTGTTTCTAAGTTTGAAGACATTTTGCCTCCCATCCAGGAAGATTTTTCAATTCAACATGCCAAAATTATCATTGAGCCTTGTTTTGGCTTACTGTAGAAAACATGCAAAATGAACTGGAGGAAAGGGTCCGCTTCTTAGGAATGAGGAGTCGTTGAGATCTTTTGTTAGCCTGCATTACCAGATACTGGTCTATGCATACGAAACCCCCATCCCCATGCAGGCGACCAAAAAATCTCACTTGGTCAGCCAGGTAAACAATGGCCCAAACGACTCCCCTTTCAGAGGGGAAACAAAAGGGAACCTATTTGGAAATGTTTTTTATTAAGATTTTTATTTTTAAGATATTTTTCAAACTGGTTTGTTTTTAAGCAGGAACCTGCTTACAGGCCAGACTGATGCATACATGGAAAGATAAGACTGGTAAACACTGGAAATGAATATTACTCCAGTAGATTTCTTTGGAGATTTCACAATATTCCATAATTTACACTATTTTTTCCTAAAACTTTACATCTAGGATAAGCAACTTTTTATAAATGCACTCAGAACTAAGAGAAATAAAGGGGGCTATCAATTAAACAGCCATTGTGTAAATGAACTGTGAGACAAAACAGAATTGTCAAGAAAAAAAACTGTGTAGTTGGATTAAGACCATTTGAACTCTTACAAGAAAAACAGTAGTTCAGAATATAGCTTTTTTTAAGTTCACAATTTCTGTTTTCTCATGTTCAAACAATGAAGATTTTAGCTGATATGCAACAACATCATACAAATATGCTTTTCATAGAACAAACTTGAACACATTAGGGCATCTTATCGCTGTCTGTACGTTGGCGTGAGTGGGAGGCACAATGTGATTAATGTTCTCTCAGTGCATTTTTTTAGTTAGTCAGGCTTTTACCACCAGTTCTAAAGCAGCACTAACATTTTTACCTTAATATCTGCTCTTCTAAGTCCCTGTGATGGTAATCTAGGTGTTTATGAGACTAATCAGTGGGTTTGTCATCTACCCCATCTGGCCCTGGTCGGAACATCAAGCAGGTTTCTGTGAACCCGACCAAGATTGATGTTTTGCGGTATGACGAGCAGCTTTAAGGCAGCCCAATGTAAGGCCATTTGCATTAATAGCCACACACCTCATGCTGTCCTATCCACAGGTGATAATAGAATTTTTATTGTTTATGATTTTGGATGTTAATGACTTGGTAGAAACTGCAAAACAAAAAGAAAGAGGCAATGATTCATTGCTTGATCATTTGTTGAAGAGAAAACAGAACTGCATTGGAACATGGTTAACAGTATATGACTAAGGCGTTAGCTTGGCTGCTCCACCTCAAACAGAAACAAAGAGTGCAAACTAATGGAACAATGTACTGTTAAATATATCTGTTAACCTTTGTTAGTGCTACTAGTGTGAATTTAGAGTGATCGGTTTTTAGTGTGCAATTATAAACAAGAAGAGGCCAAATCACCTTTTTTATGGTTTAGTCAAGACTTTAGACAGATTATATTTGTTCTTTTGTTTAGTGTAAAACAAAAAGAAATGTTGTTTGAAACACCTCACTGGACAATTTCATCTTTTTAAAAGCGCAGCTTTGAAAAATAGTAAAAGTAACAGTAAATTTACAGTTCTACCTTTTTTTTTATATAATAATAAAATAAAATAAAAACAATAATAAAATACAATACAATAACCAATTTTACAAAATATTCAGCAGTCTAATGGCAGTGGGGAAGAAACTGTTCTGGAATCTGCTGGTCCTGCATCGGATGCTTCGAAGCTTCTTCCCAGAGGGCAGCAGGGAGAACAGTCCAATGGTGGGGGTGTGAGGGGTCATTTATGATGTTACGGACTTGGGACATGCAGCGCTGGGATGAAATGTCTTTTATAGACGGAAGAGCCAGACTTAAACATAATTGGTACAATGTACAATATCACCCACCTCTATGGACATTTGATTGTGACATGGGTATTCCAACTTAGGGCCCTCTCACTCCTTGATGATTTAGACAGCCTATCCCTGAAGTCCCAGAATCTCCTAAAATGCTGGCAAATGCTAAACCATCTACATATTTTTTTTCAATTTTAGGCATATACACAGTGTATTCATAACGAGTCCAGAACTTATGTTCAACGGCAGCCTAACTTATGCATAACGCAGGGCAGTGTAATGCCCAAGAAATGTCACAAGCCAGTGTCCTGAGGGGGCAGCAATGCGCTCGTTCTGAACAAAAAAATGTTTCTGATTGCAGTATTAACCTAGCTGCTTCTTACCACCCGCCCAAAAAAAGAATAAATAAAAAGAAAAAAGAAAAACAAGAAGGTTTGCAGGCGCAGCAGATTCAGCATCATGTCTGCTAGGAAGTTTGTTGGTGGTGGCCATTGGTGTGAACGCAAGGAGGATCCATCACACTCACCTTGTTGCTCACCCTATGTGGCGATGAGGCCAGGAGGAGAACAGACAGTTTCCTCCTGTCAACCCATTTTATTACAAAATTCTGCCAAAATGCCATTATACAATAGCTGTAAGTTAGAAACAGGTTCAGCGGTCGCCTGGAACAAGTGGAATACGTTGATTTCCGTTGGACAGAACTTTTTAGTAAGTTACGCATAAGTTATGCACAAGTTACTCATAGGTTTTGGATAAGCTAGACACCACAATTTATAAGTAACTTACATTTAATGTATTTCAATAATCAGATAACTTACCTGTAACTTATGGCCCACCTATGAGCACACACTGGCATACGTGATACGTACTTTAATGTCTGCGTGTACCAGGGAGTTCCGGCGTGATTTAGCTTATTAATAACTTATACAAAACATACTCATACTTATCCAATGTAAGCCAGCGTTTTTGTGATATTTTTCGTATGTCAGGCATACGCTGGTCTAAATCGTCAAGGTGTGAGAGTGCTGTACAGTAACTGTAGGATGTGCAGTTAGCAGAGGGTGTCTTTGTTTACCACAGTGCTTTTTTATAATATCCTGTAGGGGGAGCATGACTTGAAAATAACTTAGAGCTGCTTTAAAACAGTTATGTTAGATTCATTGGTGGCTCAAATTTCTACAAGCTATGACTGTGCGTTTGCAGGGCATTGTTTCTGTACTAGCCCTGTGAAGGACAGGTGACCTGTCCGGAATTCACCAGGTTTCTCCTCCACTGAATGCCAGGACAGGTTCAGAATGCCTTCAAACATCTTATAAAACATGTATTTTAAAAGTATTATATAGATTAGTTTGCATTAGGAGATAGTTATTGTCATCTTCCATTTTCTGCTGTAAAAATATTCTTCTGTTCACCTGTCATTAAAAGTGAAGAGCTTAATGTATATTTTTCTTTTTCTTTACTTTATAAACACCTTAAATCAATGGTCTGAATTACTGCTTACTTATTTTATATTATAGAAACAAAATACTAAAATTATCTTTTTTCCTTTTTAGCCATTATAGGCATCACAGAGAAACATTCTGTTGTATGAAGGGTATCACAAGATCTTTTTCAGTTTTTCATTTTTTGTATTTGAGCAAAAATAAATAGTTGGTAAAATGATGTGCATTAAGACAGGAACTGAAAATTCAAAATATTGCTAAAAACAGATAAAATGTTTAAATCAGTCATTTATATATAAAATTAAAGATTAAACATGTTATTCTTCTCAATGCATATTGAGATCTGCAAAGGGACTCAAAGAAATATCCGGAACAGTTGTTAAAAAAACAACAAAACAAAAAAAGCAACACTTAATGACCCCTATGTTCTAAGATTCTCAACCTCTAAGGTTGACACTATATTATGTCACTCAGCAGCATGAAAGCCAGATCCAGAGGACATATATAAGTGTGATGTAAATATGTTATGACATTACAGTAGACACACTGAAACAAGACTTACCTTTTCTCACCCTTGTACCACTCAAAAGTTGGAGAAGGCACAGCAGCAGCTTCACACCGCAGCAGTCCTATGCGTCCCAAACCAACGCCATGACTCTTCATTTCGTGAATACTCGGTGGAACTGGAGAAAGACATTACAGAACATTTTAGAATAAGGAAAACATTTCTGTCCTATTGTTTGTATAAGAATATCATTAGGAATCGAGGTGTGCCTAAGACATGACCTCTGACATTCTGGTCTCTGCTCATTATGTGTAAGATAAACGGAAGGCTCAGGGTCAACAGATGCTGAAAAGAAGAGAGGAGAATGGCCTCCTTATGTAGAGAAAAATGAAGGAGGAAATGAATTGCACAGCATGGTGATAAATGGCTTAATGGAAGTTCAAAGACTGACTGGTAGAGGCAGGTTCTTTGAATGCCAAACGAAATTCCTTTCATGTGCTGAAATGTGGTGTAAATCGCTTTGCCTGTCATGAAGGCATATGGCGGTTTCCAAAGCAACAGCATTTCTTTAGTACTTTTAATATTTACCAAGCTTCTAAAAATTATGCCTTCAAAACATTTGGAATCTTTGACATAAACACAAATTAAATACTGTTTTGTTTAACTTGGTTAAAAAAATGTATATAATTTGAGTATGATGACGGTTTCACTGTAGAGCCTCATTAAGATCATTAATACTTTGTATCCCCAGAACCAAACATGCAGCTTCAAACTGGAACAAATTCCAAGAAAACTGCAAAACTGTCAAAAGACTAAATTCCTTTAAATTGAGGATGAAGACCCACCTGTTTACATCTGCCTTTGATTAGTAGTTCACAAACAAATCAAGGTGAAAATGTTCTCTAACAAAATGATAATCATCTGTATGTAGTTGATGGTTTTTATGTTTTTGTGAGACGAGGATGTTTTGATGATTTGCTTTGAACTTGATTGGTTTTTAATGAATTAAATGATTTAACTTTTCTACTGATGTTTTTAGGATGCAAAGCACTTTAAATTGGCTTGCCACTGAAATATACTATACAGTACAGGTACATTTTCACTTACACTTTTATTAAGAAATATTTTTAGCACAACACTTATATACTAAATTGTCATCGTTAAACAGAGACCGACATGGATGGAAATGAATAAAAACATAAATGGCTACAAAAGGAATTGTACCCGCTCTGCTCTTTGGCATTCTGTCACATTAGGACTCCAAACCTGTTTAGCAGAAATTGAGACATGATCTCTTTCTTCTTTTTCAAAAAAAAAACAAAAAAAAAAAACAAGCTCACTTATACCTAAAAAAACAGCAGTTTCTATGTTTTCGCAACAAGATTCTTAAATCTATTAAGGTTTGAACTGACTTCAACTGAGCCATTCTTTTGTCTTTTCTCTGCTGTAAATTGAACATCCATCTTTTCATTATTTCAGACCAGCTTCGCTGTCCCTGGTTAAAAGGCCTCCTCACAGCTTGATTTTACCTTGACTATCATTCTTTGTGGTGACGGTGTGTTCTGATTTGAAATATTAGTATTCCATCATAGGAAGTTATTTACGAGTAGGCCATAGAGTTTCATCATCCTCTACGGTGTCTATCCTTCATAGTGTATTGCAAACTTTAAGTTATATTTATTATGGTTTATTTTCAAATATATCTTTATGCCTCTAAAAAACTTAGTAGCATCATGTATAATGATAATAAATCTTTTTCTCTTCCTTAAGTAGCAGATTTATATACAGTCTTTTACCTGAATCTCTGCAGCTCCTCCAGAGTAACCATTCTGTACATCTTTTTGCTGCTTTCTGGTAAACATTTGACCTGCAGGTGGATGATGTCTTGGTAGGTGTGTGATTTTTATGATGTCACAATAATGGGTTATAAGATGTCCGAAACCTGGGATATGGATTCATAATCAAATTCTGCTTTAACTGTAGTGCAATATTTATCTGTCTAGATATCATGTCTAAAATGTTCTCACTCATCTTCTTGAAATAACCTTGAAATAATCTTCTTGAAATAGGCCTTAATAGAATAGCTTGATTTCTTGTGAAACAGAATTAAAAATCATAATTAAATACGTCAAAGATACAGTTTAAAATGTAAAAAAAAAAAAATATATATATATATTTATATCACCTGCAAAACTATGGAGATATTAATATTAATATATTGCTTCTCTCCGAGTTCAAGAAGCTATAATACCAAACAGGAAACCAGTTGCTTCGACCAAATGGATTAGAGCTGATACTGGGTAACTTTGTCTTCAATTGTCAAAACTTTCAAACAATAAGAAGTTTGCAGCGTAATTAAGAAGACAAAAAGACATTAACAACTAAATCAAAGTTACTCTGTTCCATTGATCCACTATTCTGTCTTAAAGCATAAAGAAAAAGATTACACTCCAAGGGTCGCTCCTCTTTTCAGCCGTAAAACACCCGACCGGGTTTGAAAGTGAGAGAGGGACTATATAAAATGTTGACAATGAATTTTTCAGAACGCGCTGATTGTAAGAGATGTGGTCTGCACCCAGTGAAAAAGGCTTGGCTAAATACCTGCAAACCTCTCCTTTCAATTGGATCTGGAGATGTTACTGATTAATGACCTCTGTTGGGCTGCAGCAGCCTCCCAAGAAAACTACATAAAGCCAGTTCTGATCAAATATCACCAACTGCAGACAACAGCAGACTTCTCTAATTGGCAGTTGAAGTTTGGGCGTGGATTAGACGTATCATAAAGCATTATGGCATATGTAATATTTGCTTGACATATGTTTTGTTTAATTAAAAGAGTGAAAAGCGGAGCCAGCGTGTGAGCAGTAATTCTGCAACCCTGATAGTCACATCAGATAAATAAGGTTTAAGATTTAACATATCAGTGCAAAAAAAGTACAAACATAATTTGTAGATATTGTGTATAAGCATGGAAGAGAAACATAAAGTGATAGGGTGCTCTGGGATGATGGATGTCCTTCAACAAGCCTTCCTTTGCACCCTAATGAGCACATTTATAAGCTGGCTCTTTGTTTTTTTTACTCTTTTCATATTTCTGGCAATTATGCTGTTACTTTCACTTCTTTAGCCTGCGTGAATAATGCCAAGGTCTTTAGAAAGTGACTAAAGAAAGAGGTGATGCTTCAGCTTTTTTTCATTTATCACTGTGTAAAACAAGGCAGGGGAGGTGGAATAGGGACTGAAAACCTTGAAAATATGTCTGTCTGTGTCTAACCAAAATATCCAATAAATACTTCTAACAATCTTATGTTTTAGATATCAAACAGATCTGCTTAAACCGCACCATATTTCTCTTCCCTTTTTAAAAGCCGGGAACCAACCAGCAGTCTGGAGGAAAAGCAGATGCTGCCTACATGGTGTCATATTTTATCACATAAATGATAAGCATCTAAAAATGTGTGCATTAGAGAATGTCTGGATAATATCTGAAGCGAAGGTATGAAACGATGGGATGCAGAAAAAAATAAATGCCACCAAACTCAACACACGGCAATAAGAAATGTGACAAAATCAATGCAGCATGCTGACCGACAGCAGCTTAGCGAGTCCTCGTAATCCTCCATTGGTGTCATTGTGCAGCACCATTGATTATCTGAAGCCTCTCAAAGTGTCAGGGTGACCTAGCTGTCGTCCTGTACAGTTACCAGGACAGTGAACACAGCGGCTCAGCCAGGTGAGTCAATACTTTAATACTCACACCTGAAAGCTTTAACAAATAAGAATATAACATACAAGCATAAACATATAAGATTTTTTCTGGTAAAAATAAGAACATTAAACAATATATCTTAATGTAAACCTGCAAAATGTGAATACTGCCATGTGTCACTTGAATTAATAACAAAGGATTTGCTTGGGTAGCAAGCATTGTTTAAACAAATTGTGTTTTTTTTTGTTTCCCTTTTCCTTTAGAGTCAATGGATTTCCTATTTACAGTATAGTTAATTTGGTTTACTGATCTTCATGAGAAGTTGTTATAATCCTGGCAAGAAAATACGATTAAACAAACAAATCGGCAAATATAAACTCCAGGTGTTTATCCACTACACCATGCAATAAAGAGGTGTCTGATGAGTTTCCAAAATCCTTCTTCAGCATGATAATACTCCCAAATAGAACTATCAAACTCAACAATGCTTTCAAGCATCTACATCTAATGAACTGGGCAAACCTGCTTAAACCTGAATCTATTGCAACCAATTTGAGTAATGCTACCTATAAGAGCATTAGGTTCCAATGGTTTCAGCACTGATATTTATTAATCATCACAGGAATCCTTATGCGGGAAGCTGGTTATATAACTATGATAATTTTTTTTTTTCATCAGTTATTAATGAGGATTTTTATTTTCTCTAAAGAAAGCATCTATTATGAGTAACACTACATTTTCATGCACATCTCCTCTTGTAAAACTGGTTAAACATATTTAATATTGATTTATATTTAGAACCCTGCGATGATAAGCCGGTCTAACAGGACCTTTGACACACAAATACATTTTTTTTTTTTAATGAATGCACCATAAATTCTTACAATCTATTTCCCAGTTCTATATTGGCTTACAAGGACAAAAATATTTGCCCAAAAACAACAGTACTTGAGACAAAACAGGGCTGTGCAGATTTACCTGTAATTATCTCTGCTGTTTGTCAGTCATTCAATATTCAGTACAGATTCTTTGTCTGACAGCTGTATTGTTATTTTTTTTTTTTTTTACAACAGAGCTTTTTTATACACCATGGATGTAATTTAAATCTGAGTAGCTCAACAGTAAGTTGAAGTTGTCGAAATTAGCAAATATCAGTGGCCAAACATTTTAAGCAGCCGATGCTTAGGATACTTAAAGGTTTTGTGGAGGATTTTTCGCAATTTTTTAAATTTTTAAATTTTCTTTTAATTTATGAAAAGACTCTCACTTGCACATGCACAACCCTCTGCCCACTCCTGGGCGGGAACACCTATTAAATGCCTGCACTTTATAGCGACTTTATAGCAAACTCAGTTAATTTACCATTCGGACAGATGATCACTGCTTTTTACTCCTCATTGGTGACACAACTCGTCCTCCACTGCTCGGTATCTGCCCCATCTTTGTTATTAGTAGCTGCTGTTGGGTAA